ATATCTTCTTAACTAGGCGTTGATAAGTAGCCCCAGTATTTTTTAGACCAAAAGGCATCATTTTGTAACAATAAAGGCCTCTATCAGTGATGAATGAAGTTTTCTCCTCATCAGCCAGATACATGAAAATTTAATTATACCCTGAGTATGCATCCATGAAGCTCAAGAGTTTATGGCCAGTAGTGGAGTCGACTAACTGGTCGATCCTTGGAAGTGGAAAACTGTCCTTTGGGCATGCTTGGTTAAGGTTGGAAAAGTCTATGCAAACTCTCCATTTGCCGTTGGGCTTCTTTACTAAGACGGGATTCGAGATCCATTTTGGATATACTGCCTCCATGATAAACCTATTGGATATGAGCCTTTGCACTTCTTCCTTCAAGGCCTCGTATCTCTCTGGGTTCAAGGCTCTCCTTTTTTGCCTGTGAGGGGTAAACTTGGGATCAATGTTAAGACGGTGGCAACTAACATTGGGGTCTATGCCCACCATATCTGCATACTTCCAGGCGAACATGTATAAGTTGCTAAACATGAAGCTCTTGAATCTCATCTTTTTCCTAATTCGAGCTCTTTCCCCACTTGTAGCACCTCTGTAGGGTTATTCAGGTCTGTCGGGAAAGATTTCAATTCCTCCACTCAGGGCATCTATCATGCTGACGTCTCCCCTTTGTTTAGGGGTAGGACCTTCTTCAGGTGCGTCAACCATTTCAGCGTTCACCAGGACCATATTCAAACTGCGGGGCTCAAATTTTCTCAGGGAGCTAAGGTAACATTCCCTCTAGCCCATTTGGCTTCCTCGTATTGTAGTAATTCCTCTTTCATTGGGGAATTTCATACACATGTAGTGTATGGACATAACGGCTCCAAGCTCTTTCAACGCGGGTCGACCCAATACTCCGTGGTAAGCAGATCGGTGATCTATAATGAGGAATTCCATGAAGTGTTGAGTCGTGAGTGGGGGTTCTCCCATTTCCACCGCTAGTGTGATTCGTCCCCTAGGAACGATGTTGTCGTCGGTGAAACCATATAAGTGGGCAGTCATGGGGGTGAGCTCATGATCTACCATCATTTTGTCAAAGGTGGTTCCAAGTAGGATATTTACTGAACTCCCGTTGTCTACTAACATGTGTTTGAGCCGATTTCTGGCCACGACAAATCGTACCACCAAAGCGTCACAATGTGGATAATGAACCCTAATGGTGTCTTATGAAAAGGTTATTGATGGAATGCTTACAGCTCCTCGAGCGGTACTATTGACTAAGTAGCTCGTCATGGGAGGATCATTTGCTTCCCTTGAGTAATTTCTCTGAGCATTTCTGGACTCCCCTCCTACATGTGGATCGCCAATACTGGTGTCAATTTCCCCTATGGGGACATTATCTGCGTTGGGTGGGGGTTCTCTCATGGGCTTTTGTCCACCTCTTGACCTATTTCTTTTTTCCTCGCGCTCCCGTCAAGACGATTCATTTTTGTGATATTGCCTTTCCTTATCACGCCTAGGTTTCCTCTCATGCCTAGGTTGAAGCGCGTTCCTTTGTGCATGATAGGTGTTTTTTCTATCAATACGGGGCCGCTGGTTCTTCATGATATGGCCTTGACATGCAATTCTCTGTTCCATGACTGTTGGTTCGATGGTGGGTGCAGTATTTTCTGTCCCTAGGCTCCCTATTTCTCCCCATACCTCTTCCCATGGATTGATTCGATTGTCTTTTCATATGCCAAAGATGGCACTGCATTTAATGTGGCAATGACCAGCGCTTGGCCTCAAGTGGGGACGATTGTATGTCCCGCTTGGGTCCATTAATAGTCCACTAAGTGTGATATGGGACCTCGCCGCTGTCTCTGAGGTGGTGGGAGTCCCAATGAAGTTCGGTTGGGTGATCAATGAGCTCTTCGTTGACAATCTCGCTTCTCATCATTTTCACTAAGGCATCATAAGAGGCAAGGTTCTTGTTTCGAACATCCCTCTAAAATAGGGTGTTCATGTTGAGGTCTTTTCTTAGAGCAAAAAGAGCCTTTCTATTCTTAACCTGCTCACAATAAGTCATCTCGTCCATGAAGCGGGCCAAGTAGCTTTTCAAAGTTTCACCGGCTTGCAGCCTCATGTTCTACAACCATTAGATGGGGGCTTCACCTTCTTTGCTAGATAAGTATTGGTTCAAAAAGGCCTTTTTGAGGTCTGACCAACTCCTAATGCTGCCGCAACGTACGACCGTAAGATGACACGCATGTTTCTCATATTCGCAGCCATCTCCCCTACTTCTCTAGCCAAACGAGCTATGGTACCGCCTCGCGTGTGTTGGTGGTGGGGGCGACGCACGTTTACATTTGTTCGGAGGACCTCTTCTTCAGAAGACTCATGTTGTCTACTCCTACCTTGCGATCCGTAGTGGCTAGAACTCATAGTGTTTATTAGGTTTAGAGCTAAAGATAGGCTTTTTAGATGTTTTCTCTTTGCAGCGGTTCTTCTTCAAGAACCAAACCTTTTTTCAAGGCTCTGCTTCCAACGACTTTTACTACAAGGATGTTCGTGGTTATAGTGTCGATTTCCCCACAGAGAGCACCAATCTATTGACCCAAAAAAATGTACCAATGATGTGGCCAACAGATCCTAAGGCCTCTTACGTTCGCGCAAGCTAAATTCCTGTACACTTGGACAAACTGTTAGTTACACGTGGCCTTCTCCGGGAGGAGTGGAGTTAGCCACACGCACTCCGACGGTCAAATCAGTTGGTGTAGTAGTTTTAAGGTATGGGAGAGCTTTGAACGTGAGCCTCCAATATGAACAATGGGTGTCGGCTTTGGGGTAAAAAAATTAAAAAGTGTGAGTGGCAATAAAATAGTTTTGAGAGTCTAGACTTGCATTACTCCCTTGAATGACACTAAGTGTGAGCTTTTATACTTGGGCAAAATGAATGGAGCTCCTTGGATGATAGCGCACGTGGCCTCATCCAAACTACTTCATTCTTTTGTCTATACATCAATCAATCCCAGCCTTAAATACTAAGATCACTTTTGTATCCATAAAACCTAGCTTGTACTTTAGAATTGATTAAATATGATGGCGTCGACAGTGGTTATCTTGTCTACTGCAGTGAGTTGTTTTGTCAACTCACATGGTGTGAGATCCATTCAAGATCTCGTCATTGCTTCGTCTTGGGCCGACTCTTGCAATGGGGTCTGCACGTAACGGGTCGGTCCAGGTGTTCTATGTGGGGAAGACGGGTCGTTTGCACCTGAATTTGTTCTCCTGCGTGTAGCTGGGCTACCCTATGCCAGTGTATGATGCATGGGCCCCCAAGCGGTTCGCCACGTAGGCTAATTGAGCCCCTTCATGGGGTCCTAACTTTTCAAGGCGTAACATATTATTTAAAAAATATTTAAATTAGAAATTATATTTAAATAAATTGTTCAAGTGCTAATTATCAAATTTGTAACTTTTCACTCTTGATGAAAAATTTTAATTTATTGTTGAGATAATTAATTAGAATTTAAAAGTGAATATTAAATAAAAATAACCCATCATATTAAAATAATTATGAATCAATTAAACTCTAGTAATACTAAAATATCAAATAAGAATATAGATAGAAGAAACAATTTTTATAAAGTGTGTATAAGGGGAAAATGGGGTTAAATCAATTTTTTTTATAATTGGTATGTGTAACACTATTTATTACAGTATCTTTTTCACTATATTTGATGAAATATCGGTGATGTGATAACTTATGTGGAATAATGGAATATAGTTCAATTTTCATGAGAGAGGGGAAATTGAACTGTCTTATCCCATTAATCCACATAAGTTACCATATTATCGATATTCTATCATTATAATTATAAATAATATTATTCATCAAATATGGTATCACATTGGAGATACCCTTAATAAAAGTATAATTGACCCACCGTTTAATTTGGGTAAAAATTAGATTTTTTAATAAATTTTGATAAAAGTTAGTGAAACATGTGATTGAAAAATTGATAGAAGTTGTGAATTTTGAAAAAATGAAACAAGGTGCAAAGTGTTTCAGTTTACTATGTTCTCTTTATGGCATCTTCATTGGAGATCCAAAATGATGCAAAAATATCATAATGATGCAAAAATATGGGTGCAAAGCTCCTCCAAATGCACCATCCAAAATTTAATCCTTAATTTAATTGTATTAATATTATTATGTGTATTTGTAATAAATTTTAATCATGTAATTAATAATAATTGAGGAACGAATTAAAATACAAGTGTTCAATAAATTTAAGTTGTAATACAATAAATAATTAAATATTTTTTGAGATAAATAAATTGTAAAGAACTAAAAAGTTGAAGAAAATGGTGAAACGCTTTCATGTAATACAATTTTTAATGTTTGGGTTGAAGATGATTTCTTGCAAAATTTATGCTAAAATGATGCAAAACTAATCCCATATTTCGATGCAATGACTCAAGATTGACACTCAATTTTTGTGTCAAATTTACCATATGCCACTCTGACACTATAGTAGTATGTACATTTCCGAGCCTAATTTTAAGCAAATTTTGCACTTAACCGACAAGAAAAGTTCAATAACTCCATTGGTACAGAGAATTTTTTTACAGAAATTGTACCAAATATACACAATATTTGGGTCCTATTATTTTTAACAATATTTAATTCATGTGGATCCCGTCTCCTCATGTGAGAAAAATTTAAAAATCTAGAAAAATTATATCATTTTCTTCCTGTACTTGCGTCATTTTTTCAGAAAAGTTAGCCCCTCGTGTCCCAAATTTCACGATTTACGAGGAGCTTCTTTTGAATCTATCTGCACTTTTGTTGAGTCATAAAAGTTCTCGAATTTTTTAATGACTCCTTTTGGTTATAGTACAATGCATCAGCGCGTGAGTACAAGCTCCATCACTAACTGACAAAAATCTCATGAACCCACCATACATTTTTTCTTATATATATTTATCTCCTTTCCAAATTTAATTAATTATATTTGTACTATATTTCTGAAACCCAATGGACGAAACATTTTGTTTGTTACGAAGGCATCACATTCATTTTCGTCACTCCAATAAAGGTTCTTTTTCAAGAACTTCAAAAGGGTCATTGAGAAACCGAATATCTTTGCATTGCTTTGATTCATCACCTCTATTCACTGTGAATGATTTAACCAGGTTAGTTCAAGATTCAATTTTGTTTATTTTTCTTAATAATTAGCAGATTTTTCTAGTGTTTAATCCGAGTAAAAATCTAATCAAGTCTTGTGAAGTGAATTTCAAGAAAAATCTGTGTGATTTCTTGATATTGTTGTGCTCTTTAATTCTTATTTCGATATTGCTATCGCTTATTTTGATGAAGTTACATGATTTGGTGAATATCTCCTGATATGATTATATGGCATGTAGAAAGAAGGGGGTGAAAAAGAGGTTGGTTGGTGAAAGATTAGTAGCATCTAAGATGGCTGGATATGAAGGGATAGCGACAAGTTCTGAGGTGAAATCGGGTAAAATGATATTTGAGCCAATTCTAGAGGAGGGAGTTTTTCGTTTTGATTGTTCTGCGGATGATAGAAATACAGCCTTCCCGAGCATTTCCTTTAAGAATCCGAAAGAGAGGGATATGCCAATTATGAATGTTCATAAAATTCCAACATACAATCCCACATTTGAATGTGTTATGGGACAACAGATAGTCAATATTGAGGTAAATATTGTTTATCATCATTCTTTAAGCATTGCACATTCTTTGATATCATTAAAATGTGATTCAATTTCAATTTTTTACATTTTACAAGTTAACACGATTTAATATATTGGCGTGAAATTTTCTGTGTTTTAGTTCCCGTCTGGTACCTCTTTTTATGGAACTGGAGAAGTTAGTGGGCAGCTGGAGCGGACGGGGAAGAGAGTAAGTCACTTGATCCAGCTTTTTTGTCAATAAGTATAAATGATTGTTCTTGAAATAATTTCTACTTTTACTATGAACAGATTTTTACTTGGAATACTGATGCATGGGGCTATGGTACGGGAACAACTTCCTTGTATCAATCCCATCCTTGGGTTCTAGCAGTTCTCCCTGATGGAGAAGCATTAGGGGTTCTTGCGGATACTACACAACGATGTGAGGTACTTGTGATTTCTTGGTTAGTTTGTGAGACTAATTGTTAGACAGAAATTGCTTTTTAGAAGTCTGGTCGTTGTTTGAGCAGATTGACTCAAGAAAGGAATCAAATATAAAGGTCATTGCTCCATTATCGTATCCTTTGATCACGTTTGGTCCGTTTGCTTCACCAACAGATGTTCTTATGTCTTTCGCCCGGGCTGTTGGTAATTATGGATAATCATACTTTTCATCTTCTGGTCTTTCTAAATAATTTTTACGTCTCTTCTTGAATGACAAACTGCCAACTTCTTATGTAGCATAGAATTCCTTTTCAGCATTTCCTCTAGGATATTTAGTTCCTAAAACAAACATCTAAAAGATGAATACTATAAACCAATTTAATCAATTTTGATAATTGTTGTCCCAACAAACTTGTTCCCTTGGTGTTGTGCAGATTCTTAAATTAAGTGAAGTATAAATGTTAGATCCTGTCATTTGAGAACAAGAATGGCAATATCAGACAGTTAAAAATGCTACTGGTAAATGCGACTGACCTAGGGGTATATTGACATTCATGATTTTGTATTATGTTGGCCTAGTTTTCTATATATAGAAAAATCTGAAGGGGCTGTCTTGCGTAGAGATAGGATAGAGAGGTGTGAGGAAAACGTTGTAATTCCTTCTCCATTAAAGTTAACAATCTGCCCTAGTTTCCTACGTTATAAAATTTGCATGTTTGTATGTCTGCATTTAATTTTCTTCTGTGTTACTGCTCTTTGGAGATTAAGGCTTAAACCTAATTAAAATTTCTCAAGCGATCTATGTTATTGCTATAAAGAGCTTGTATGCCAATAATGTTGCCTTATCTGCTCCCTTTGTAACTCATTTTCATAAAATGGTCCGACTTTCATGTGTTTTTACTTAATTTAAGACTACTTTTTCTCATGTTCTATTCTTCTTGTCTTCATGCAATCTTCCCCTTCTTACTACTCACAAGTTGAGTTGCAGGTAAAAATATAAAATAATTTTGCATTTCTATTTCCCATATAATTTGACTTCTACAAAAAGTCTGATGTGTCAATATGCGATCCACAATCAAAATCGTCTTTTTTCACTATTCTTGTTTTGCTTTTTCTACCTTCCTCACTGCTGTTATTTGATTGAGGAATTTTTCTATCAGGTACTGTTTTTATGCCCCCAAAATGGTCACTGGGCTATCATCAATGTCGTTGGAGCTATGCTTCTGATGCACGAGTTCGTGAGGTTGACCATTTATACTGTATTGATTTCTTATTTGCACATACACAAGGATCATACACCTTTTCTTCTTATTTCTCCATTTGTTTTGTTTGTCTTTGCATGGATGCACGAACTATGTGAACTTGGAATTTTGTTATGGGAAACTCATTTTGTTATTAGAGAGGTTATATGGACAGCTTGTTTTTCATGCATATTTACGATTTAACATTCAGCCTGTTTTTCATTTTCTCAATGCAGATTGCAAGGACATTTCGTGAAAAAAATATACCTTGTGATGTCATATGGATGGACATCGATTACATGGATGGTTTTCGTTGTTTCACATTTGACCAGGCAAGTTTACATCTACTCCAAGTTGGTTTGTTGCATAGATGAATTATAAAACAAACTACTTCTATCTATTTTAGGAGCGGTTCTCGGATCCAAAATCTCTTGCAGATGATCTTCATAAAAATGGTTTCAAAGCAATCTGGATGCTCGACCCTGGGATCAAATATGAAAAGGGCTATTTTGTTTATGACAATGGTTCTAAAAGAGATATCTGGATTCAAACTGCTGATCGAAAGCCATTTGTAGGTACATATGATACCTCCATTCTTCCTCTCCCTTTCTAGAGAAAACTGAAACGAAACATAATAAAGGAAGAGAAAGAGAAAAAAGCTTGAACTCGTGGCCAGGGAATTTTTTTATTGAAATGAACATGTACATCTACATTTACATTTATTTTATTTATTCTATCTTTAGGGGAGGTGTGGCCTGGGCAATGTGTATTTCCCGACTTCACAAAATCAGAAGCTCGTTCATGGTGGGCTAATCTTGTCAAGGACTTTGTTGATAATGGTGTTGATGGTATATGGAATGATATGAATGAACCGGCTGTTTTCAAGGTGAAGTTCAAACTTTCTTAGAAGTACACCACTTTCCTTCTTTTGCATAACATATTTTGTTGCAGACTGTAACAAAGACAATGCCTGAGAGCAATATTCATAGAGGAGATCCAGAGCTTGGAGGCTGTCAGAACCATTCATACTATCACAATGTATACTACTTCTGCCTGGACCCTTCTTCCAATACTTCAATTTTACTCTTGAAAAAATTTATATGCTTAGCTGAAGCTTTTAGTTATTAGTACCAGAAAATGAAAATTAAGCTAATAGTTAATGGTTTTCTTTTATGTATTATAGAACAGATGGATTTTCATTCAGGAAAAATTGGTTTCTTATTTCAGGTTTATGGTATGCTGATGGCAAGATCAACATATGAAGGCATGAAACTATCTAATGAACAAAAACGTCCATTTGTTCTTACTCGAGCTGGATTTGTTGGTAGCCAAAGGCATGCTGCTACATGGACGGGAGATAATCTTTCTACTTGGGAGCACCTTCATATGAGTATATCTATGGTTCTTCAACTGGTAAGTTGAAGATATTAGACATTTTTCGAACCACGAAAGAGACAGTGTTCTTATGTGTTTTTTTATTTGGCCCAATCTTCTCTACTTTCATGAGAGAGTTGTTCCTGACTCAAACTTTTGGTTCATCAATAGTTATACCTTTGGTTCATTCAATTCCAACAATCCATTACAAAATGTAAGAATGGACTCTTAGCCCATATAGCATTGATTGGAGGATCCGATATATATCACATACCCATACCCATGTCATGTCGTGTCCGACACGGGTACTCCAACTATTTCGAAGAGTCCGAGCATCAGAGTCTGCGCATGATTTTAGGATGTCCCTGATGGGCATAGTATATTAGATTTGGTGCTTATGTTTTTGATTGATGTCAAATTTTCATGCCTCAACCCCTAGAGATTTGCAAGAGTGTCTTGAACAGTAGGCTCTACAAATAACTTCCCAGCAGGTGTCCTAACTTAGTCATTATGGTTAACCCAAGTTGCTCATAGAGGCCCATTGCATACATCCTATGAAGAGCTCAAATTCGTATTCCAAAACAAGTGCTGTATGCTAGACACATATGGGGTTTTCTGCATTTTGTTTGCAAATTATGTTTACTTTCACTCTTATCAAGCTTGTATAGAATTGCCTGCTTAAGGACCCTGCCTCATGGTCACTTTTGAAAATACCCTTAGTGGGCATGTACCTTTTTGACTGATTCCTGGTGGTCAAATGGTTTTACATATTATGTTATTCTGTCTTTGTGACTTCTTATATATACTAATGATGAACATGAAAGAGATGGCACTGTAACTAAGTTTGACCCATTTGGAACTTGAATCTGTAATAAATTGATTATTACAAGGTCAAAATGCGGTGTTTATACAAGTCCTAAAGAAGATACTTGTGCATATGCACGCGTGAGAGTGAGTTTATATACATTAGCGTGCTAAAAATCTATTTCATTAATTATCTGCTTTTATTCATGCATTACTAGAATGGAGGAGGATTAAAAGTGACTCCAGTATTTCTTTCCTGCCCTCTTATATACAATAACATTTCTAACTATTTTTTTTTCACATATATTATCACTGATGCTTAAGAGAGAATGCCTTAATGAATTTCTCATTGACTAAAAGATCTGGCAGTTTCAATTTTCCCCCTCCCTACAGTTGACTGCATTAATGAAATATGAGCTGGTGTCTAGGGGCTTAGTGGGCAGCCGCTTTCAGGGCCAGATATTGGTGGATTTGCTGGGAATGCAACACCAAAGCTGTTTGGAAGGTGGATGGGTGTGGGTGCTATGTTTCCTTTTTGTCGTGGGCATTCTGAAATTGATACCATCGATCACGAGCCCTGGTCTTTTGGAGAAGAGGTTGGTCCTTCGTTCACAATTAAGTGAAGAACTATGTACCTGTGAAGTTATAAGCGATTTTTTTGTCATATAAATTTTACAAAAATTTCACCATGCCACTCTCTTTTAATTCCTTTGAAGCGAGTACACAAAAAAGTGCATCAATATTTCTTGTTAAACTGGCTGATGCTATAGATTCGACATTGTCTATCATTAATTGACTCAAAGTAAAAGTTGAGACGAGAAACACTTTAAGCTGCAGTATTACACCCATTAATTATACCAACGCATTAATAGTTAATTCATACCCTCTTTCAAAAATTGCTACTTTGATAACATGGTAATCCAATATGGCGCCGCAGTAGGGAGAAGGGTCATCTGTTTAGATCTCAATTTCACAATGATATTGTATATGTACGTTCATAATTCATTTAATAGAAACTTTCAGTAAATGTGAGAGCGTGTTATAGTTTGTTGAGTCCTTTTTATAAGCATCAACATTTTTAAGGAGGAGACTTATATGTAAAATATATTTAATAAATTAACTTATAGAGCGTGATATGTATCAATTTTATGCCACTTTCGAATACCGAGTTCCATCTTATATTTTATCTGAATTTTTGAACGTGTCAGAGTAAAGTCATTCCAAGCTGTTAATTATGTTTGAGTTTCCGATTATGCCTTCATTTGCTTGTTTGAAGTTGAAAAGTCTGTAGATAGTTTCTCTTATTTCTAAAGGAGCGGAACAGAATTTTGTGGAAGAAGAAACTGATTTCAAAACTTTTTTTTTTTCTCCGAAATTTAGCATAAGCTTAAATTTTGATAATCCAATTGTGTAAAAGCCACCTTCTTGGAATGGACTTTCTTGTTCTCGTGTCAAATTTGCTGCCTGAAGTGACAAATCAATAATTTACAAGAAACGTGATATCTTCTGCAATATTTCTATTCTCAATATTTGGGCGAAGCTGTCTTCTTGTACTGGTATAGAAGTAATATCTGTCGACAAATCCTAATTTTACTAATTATTATTCTTCATAACGTTGCCATTAAGATTTCTGCTTACTCTCTTCATTCCTCATTTGCGAGCTTCATATCTCCCTAGTGTGAAGAAGTTTGTCGATTGGCATTGAGGAGGCGTTATCGGCTTTTACCTCACATATATACTCTGTTTTACTTGGCACATACGCTGGGTATCCCGGTGGCAACTCCCACTTTTTTTGCTGGTGAGTTCTCATGATCATCAATAAACTGGACTTCTTGACCTGTATTTGGTGGTCATTAATTTTAAGATTCGTTTGCAGATCCCAAAGATTTTGAGTTAAGAATGCATGAAAATTCATTCTTGTTGGGGCCACTTCTCGTATATGCAAGGTTCTCGCCTCTTTTGATCTTAAAGACAGTTGTTGATTCAATATTTGGACTTGACACTATAATGTGAATTGCAATTAAATATGCTCTCTTTTAGCCTTTCTATTTTCCCTCTTTTTTGTTTATTTTAGGTTCTTTCAGTGTTGATCATAGGAAATATTTTGCTCCTAAATTTTATTGCATAGTGTGTTCAATGTTGCAGCACCAGGCATGATGAAGAGTTATATCAAATGCAGCACAAGTTGCCTAAAGGAATCTGGTTGAGTTTTGATTTTGAAGATTCTCATCCGGTATTTATAAATAACCTATTATATGACCCTTTTTTTTTTTTTTTTGATTTCTTTTAAATTTTTTGCTTTTTCCTATGTCTGATTGTACTAGGATTTGCCATCATTATACTTGAAAGGAGGATCCATCATTCCTTTGGCGGCTCCTCATCAACATGTTGGTGAAGCTACTCCTATGGATGATATATATCTGCTGGTAGCTTTGGATGAACATGGTAATTTTTCTGTTTGTTACATTTTTATGATATGATAACATTTATATGTTACTTGCCCAACTGGAATAACTTAAATTTTGCTATGCTTTTTACTAAAATTTCCAACTGGCCTTCAGTAAAGCATCTATATTCTTAAAATGATGCTTCCCATCTTTTGCTTCTCTTGGGTTCTGGTCGACTGAGGAACAGACTATATTTGGGTTCTAGCCTTTTGCATCCGACTAGTTTTCCCCTCAGAAGTACCGAGTCAAAATGTTAATTCAACTGCATTCTCCAATGAATCATCAGCAAGGGGGTAAATTGAGCTGCTAAGGAATGAGGAAAGTGAACTGAAAGGCTCCAGAAGAGGAAAAAGAAAGACAAATGGCTTAAGAAGAGAAGTCAGATGTTGGAAACCTGAATGCTCGAGTAAATTACGTCATGTTGTATTTTGAGAGCATGTATTAGAGTATGCATAACCTGAATGCTACTTAGGAAATAAGAGATACAATGAAAATTTCAGTCCCCCCCCTGAAAAGCCAATTTGAGATGAACAGGAGCAGCTTTTGGCATTGTTGGCACCTCGGAGAATTATATCATATATCTAAATTATTCTCATAGTCGTGAAATAATGAATTTGGATGACATTCGTTTTCGGTATGTCCCACATTGAATCGTATCTTTTTTTGGGAGTTTTCTAGGATGCTTTATTTAGGTCTTCTCATATTTCTGTCATGGCAGTACAAACTTGGTGTAATATTTTGGAAATTGGGCAATGTATAGAATAACTACAGCGGCGACAACAACGTGAAGTTGAAGTATAGTAGGCTTGATGGTTTTGTCCAGTTGGTTTCAGAGTTTTGAAGTAGCTTAAATTCCGAAGAAAAAAACCCGGCTGTAATTTGTGACAGGCTCTTATCATTAATGTCGTGTAGGCCGCAACAAAATTTTTACTTATATAGTTGTTGTTGTGACTATTCAGAGTTATCTATTTTACAGACATTATTGGATTTCAGAATTGGATATCTTTAACTGCAGGTAAAGCTGAAGGTATTCTCTTTGAAGATGATGGTGATGGATATGAATACATAAAAGGAGGATATCTGTTGACAACATACGTTGCTGAACTTCAGTCTTCGGTGGTTACTTTAAGAGTTTCAAAAACTGAAGGACATTGGAAGAGACCAAACCGTCGCTTACACGTGCAATTACTTCTTGGCATAGGTGCTGTGGTATGTCTTTGTTTCACGGCATTCCATTTTTTGTAATTTAAGATTGTGCACATCAAAAATGTAAAATGTTCGTTTTGCTGAATAAAATGTTGTGTTATTTTTCTTTCTTTCAAATAGATTGAAGCATGGGGCACTGATGGGGATATTCTGCAAATCAAAATGCCCTCAGAAGATGATTTGTCAGAATTAACATCGGCTGGCAAAAGGCAATACAGACTTCGTATAGGTAATTGCACTGTATAACTACTTAATTGACTCCCTAGTCATCTACGAAACAACTTTTACCTCCTTCTAACTCCCATCTATTTTTCCAGATTAGAGGCTGGGCATGTCGACTAATTAAATAGTACTATTATAGAATCTTGTATCAAATTTTGTCCAGAAGTAGAAGCTATTGCAAATTTGAACATGGGCAACATATTATACCGTTTCCAGTGTGTTTAAATTGATGATTATGTCAAATAGAGCATCTAATGAAGATCTTGTTTACTCAATGTCCTAAAAGTTGTATGGGAATGACATTAACGACGATGTATCTGACATTTTTTTGCATTATTTTTGAAATGTTAATTGCAGAAAGTGCTAAGCGTATTCCAGACTTGGATAATGTTTCTGGACACAAGGGAACTGAACTATCATGGACTCCTGTTGAATTAAAAAATGGGGTTTGGGCTCTGAAAATAGTTCCGTGGATAGGAGGTAGAATTATTTCCATGGAGCACCTACCTTCAGGTAATGCCTATCTTTTGCGTAACTTTTTGTTCATCTATTAGAAGACGCTTCAAGTTCTTCGTGTTTTATGGTTTTTGGATATTTCTAGGAACTCAATGGCTTCACAGCCGGGTGGATGTTAATGGGTATGAAGAATATAGTGGTGTGGAGTACCGATCTGCTGGATGCTTCGAGGCATATTCTGTTGTTGAGTGAGTAGATAAATCGAGTTGGTGGTTTATGCATAACATTGTGTAGCTTTCTACATTCTTTTAAACAATGTATGGATTGTATGTGCTTTTTTTCTGGACATTCTAATGCATTAACTAAAAACTCGTTAGTGTACGCTTTAAACATAGAGAAATATAGCCTTTTCAATTTGAGTTGAAATGCATCATATACATTGTGGTATTTTTATCAATGGATCATTAGACCTTCTGGCTAATATTATTAAATATGAAGCTTGAGCTTAAAAACAATGTTTTGTGGGTTTCTTTCTTTCTTTGACAGTCAGGATCTGGAGCAGGCTGGAGAAATAGAATCCCTTAAGTTAGAAGGTGATATAGGAGGCGGATTAATTCTTGAGCGGAAAATATTTTTTCCAGAAAATGGCCCAAATCATTTCCAAATTGATTCTGGCATTGTAGCTCGTAAAGTTGGTGCTGGTTCTGGTGGATTTTCTAGGTACTTTCTGAATTCATGTTATTCGCTTAAACTTCACGGGATTTTGTAGTTTGCTGGGTTTATGTCAATAAAGAAAAACATACTCATCTATCCATGTTAAATGCTCCCGATTAAGTGCATGTTTGGATATCATTAAATTACAATTTAAGCGATTATAAGTTGTGGGTCTTACAGAATGTGGATAATAAGTTGGTATTAGTTTTGGATCCTACGACAATGTTGATAAAAAGTAAGTTTGAGTGAAATAGGATTATAAAAAATCACTTCCGAATCATGCTTTGAATTGCTGACCTTTAGGGCCATTCGAAGGATTCACAAGTCCTTTGACATCCCAGTTTCTTTCATTTAAGGAGATACTTCATGGTTTTACTCAATTCATAATTCTACTATATTCCTTATAAAAGAATGACATTCTTTCAGGTGTCATCTTCCGGTATTGCATTATCAATGATGAAAACATGAAGAATTCTGTTATTGTTTTAAATCTCGTCAAGAAAGCTGTTGAAATTTTACTTTTTACCGTCATTTGAGTTGATATACTTGCACTAGTTAGTATACCTTTAAGACATGAGATTATCCTTCTTTCCTTCCTTTATCATGATCACCATGACACGTTAATCATATTGTTGTTTTTCAGGCTCGTGTGCTTGCGAGTGCATCCAATGTTCAATTTGTTACATCCTACTGAATCGTACGTGTCATTTACCTCCATCAACGGTTCCAAGCATGAGATTTGGCCAGAAGCTGATGAGCAGTTTTTCGAAGGGGATCTTCGACCAAATGGTAAATAATATATTTCTGACCAGTTCCCTAAATTTATTGATTGAAGCATGATTTTTTGTTCTCACCATCCACGTAAGAAGTTGAATATAATCCATGACCAGCGCTTGATAGTATTGCAAGGTTCCATCCTGACCGAATGAAAGAATTGTTTTTAATGTGTCCTTTTGATGAGCATGTTTGTCTGAACTTAGAAAAAGTGAAGTTACTTGATCTTTCAAATGAGTGTAGTCCTTTATATGTTTAATTTACCATAGTTTAGATGGTCCAATCCAATCCAATTCAATCCGTCTTACCAAACCAAGCCAGTAAAGTTTTAAATGTTTCACCTAGGATATTAGCTAGAGAAACATCGATTACTGTGTTGATTGTGAGGAGTTTTTGCTAAGTATTGGTTCGTCCCTTGCAAACATACGATTTTAATGGATGAAAAGAACTAATTATACAAAATCTTGGTCATTATATTGTCCAATCCGGTCCGATCTCATATAATGTACTGAAGATGCAATAAGTTTAATAAGATCATGCATTCATTGCACTACCATTGCCATATATATATATATATATATATAGTCCGCAATGCACCACGATCTCCATAAACTCCAGTCTTCTCGAATAACTGTTCTGTAGTTGAATCTGTAATGACTCGAATCCTTAACGATTCGAGTGTCACTAAGTCATAAACTAAAGCAAATTTAAAGTATATTCAACACAATTATATATAAATTATTTAAGCACTTACTAAAATTCAAATGATGTAATGAGTACAATACATTACTTGAAACGAAGAATATCTTAAAATTATTTAAAATTAAGTGAAATAATAATAGTTTGACAACGTAAGAATTTTATTATTGAATCTTTTGCCACCATAAGCCATCTCCGTGCCGACCTCCTCGAATCGTCAATTTTCTGAAAGTAGAGATATAATAGAGTGAGAATAATTCTCAATAAGCATGCGTGGATACTGGATAATGAATTCATATATGTATTTCTACGGAAAATTCATAGCTTGCATAGGGAGAGACGAAAATTAGACCGAACTTGGGTGGTGCTAAATTCTCGTGCGTAGCGCTACTAAACTCCGGTCCAATCTTAATAGAACATACGTAACATGGACCAAAACATAACATAGTCGTAGAAATATTACATACATAAATATTAGCCACCATAAACATAAAGCACAACTTACCTCTTCATTGGACAATTCAAAATGATAAAAGAAGTTATTGTTGGAAAGAAATCTTTGAGCCGCATGTGGGGTTGGTTATTCACGTGTAATTGTATAATTGTACGAACATAAAAGTTACGAGAGAAAGAGAGGTAGAGATACAAAGTTATAGAGATAGAGAGGGAAAGTGTGTAAATGATTGTTGAGGGTAGTTTAGTGTCAGGTTTGCCTCCTCCTATTTATAGGGTAAATTCTTGACCATGTGTAGAAAAGTGTGAGGAAATGGCTAGATGTTAGAGATGGTAAATGCATAAATGGTGTATTGTCATTAAAATGGTCAAATTAATACCTTTAATCATGTGGTCAAATCAATTAACTTGGCTTAAAACTTGGTGTAAATAATGCATGTGGTCAAATCAATTTCCTTGATTTGCGTGGTCCATTCAAGTACATTGGCTTGAAATGTGGTGTGAATAATGCATGTGGTCAATGAATCATTCTTAATCAAGACTAATTAGCATACTTATATATGTTTTAAGCATGATTTAATCTAACTTCCCAAAATAACTTTCCACTTAGGTCCTCAAACTATTGGTCAATAACCAATAAGGTCATAAAACTAGGCCAATAAACAATAAGGTCATTAGACACTAATAATANAGTCTTTACCTATAAAAGCTAGATGTTTGGAAGACATATTCCAAGTACATACAATATTTTGTTTCCCCTCCAATGTATTCTCATCATTTGAAAGGAGTAAAAAAATCAACTTTAACCGATAAAATGAGGAGTGCAATATGTGAGCATAAGAAAGAGAATCCAACTATTAGCCAAAAAGATATATATATTTTTTTCTCAATGAAATCCAGTAATTATTACTTTATATTTTTATTGGCCCTTAAGGATTCAATTTTTTTTTAATTACTTAATGCATTTAGCGAGGTTATTACTTTAGTCCATTGGCCCAAGTCGGGATCGAAAGAAATTATTATATAATCGAGGTTATTACTTTATCGAGGTTTAACTGTAGTAGTAAAAATTTGGGATGTTACAGAATCTATCAATTAATGGTTTCTTTCTTAACTTTTATTTTTTTTAAAATCAGGTGAATGGATGCTGGTTGATAAATGCCTTGGTCTCGCCTTAGTCAATCGGTTCGACATCAGTCAGACATACAAGTGTCTTGTACATTGGGGGACGGGGACTGTGAATTTGGAGCTTTGGTCAGAAAGCAGACCCGTCTCAAAGGAATCTCCACTTAGAATATCTCATGGATACGAGGTAAGAGTATTGTCATAAAACATTTTAATCACAAGATTCACTGAAACTGGGTATGGACTGGAATGGATGGAAGCACCATTATCTGCATTGTCGTTCTTTTTCTCACAATTCAGAACTTTTGCTTATAAGTAGATTATTTAGAACTTCGTAAGTTAATAATGGCTTATATACTAAGCCATTGCACTGAAAGGGCATGAAGACAAAATGCCCCTTGTGTAAAAGACAATGTGCATCTTGTGGACAACAGTCATTTATATAATATGTTCTTTATCTATAGGAGATGGAACCTTGCAAGTCTTGTGTACTGTTCCAATGTCAAAAATTATCCTTTGATCCCTCTAATGCATGTAATATGACACGGTCGATATAATTGTCAGTAACATTGTTATGGTGAGAACATGAAGCACCATTGATATTGAATATCAAAACTGGACAGATGGGCTGGTCTTGGCTAAAAATCGACTGCGCAGTCAGTAGAGCGGACTGGGTTGTCACAATAGAACTGGTCGACACCAACTCAAACGCACCCTAATCTAGTGTAGATGGGCTGGTCTTGGCTAAAAATCGACTGCGCAGTCAGTAGAGCGGACTGGGTTGTCACAATAGAACTGGTCGACACCAACTCAAACGCACCCTAATCTAGTGTGGTTGGACTGAATCGACATTGCTGTCTCTTAAGGAAATGAAAATGGAGAAATTTTGCGTATAAATCAATAGACGCTAATATCCACAACAATTAAAATTGGTAATGTACAGCTGAAAGCAAACTTTATAAAGATAAATCATATGGCAAATCAAAAATCAATATTCAACCATTTAGTGTAGTAGACACAAGTACTAGGAGATATTACCCCGTCGGGTGTACATAGACTAATCCGAGGACAAGCACCGCATGGAATTGAAGCAAATGCACCCAGTTTTGAACCCTTCGCTACGGCGGGACTGCTATCAAATCTGTAACATACTGTTCCAATAGGAATTGAATAATACGCTCCGAGTCCAGTGCTCTTTACCTCAATTATTTCGTTGTCTAAAACCATCGAGTTCAATATGTCGGAAACATGCTGGCTAGAGATCTCAAAATTCACCACTTGCTGCTTCTTTAAATGCTCGTGAACTCTCTCGAGAGTAGCAACCTTTTGAACGCGTATGCACCTTAAGCACAACTGTTTCATAACATTAACAAGCTCTTTGTCGAGATTTCCATCAACATACCATACGCCTCCACTAACTTCCTTTGAGGGTTCGAACTCGACTGCCATGTAGTGTTTTTTCCCTTTGTATTGGATATTTACAACCTCTTTTATCAGTTTCCTAGCCAACAATGACTTGAGCGATTTGTTGACAACATGATCAGTGAGCTTTGTCTCTTGTTTGATGTCTCGTACCCAAATTCCCAAATCTTTTTTATTTTTGATAGCATTGAGGATCGCACGCTCAGCATCTACAAGACCCAATGGATCGACCTCGGGTCTTTTCCTCTTAAGGGAAGAAGTCTCAAGTGACCGGCTCATTCCTGTCAAGAATGAATATTAATATAAAGCAAACAGAAGGTTCCTACTTCAATTTCTAAAAATATATGCAAAAAATTAAAGATATGCTGATTTCTCAGCAATAATAAACATAGATTAACGTAAAACCAATCAAGACTTCAATTAGACAAAAGTTTAGTCTCCAAAACAACCATAATGTTTTAGAAAGTAAAATAAAAAGGGAATTTTACAAAGTATCCATACTGATTTTGAAATTCCCTATTTTCGCCAACACAAAACAACCAATTTTGCTGTTAAAACTATTGTGTGCAAAATACACGAGTATATTTTCGACCACAACACCATAAACTATCCGTGAGTTATATGCATATTAATCATAAACTAGGGAAAAACTTGACAGTGGTCCTAATTAGCCAAGCATGCTCTAAGCCAACAAAGTAACACGAGTTTTTCTAGTTTAACTCAATGTAACAATAAAAGTATAAAATGTGAAACCATACTAAAAGTTAGTTAAAGGTCGTCAAATATATTCATTATTTAAGAACTTGAGATATTAAAATCACGAGTCACTGAACTCGTACAGTAGATACAATATTCTTCGAGATATTAAAACCATGAGTCACTGAACTCGCATTGGAGTTCATAAGAACATGTGTAGAAAATTTACAGAATTCATCTTACCGGTCACTGAACTATGCATTGTGTTAATCATCCATCATTCAAGTGGAAAAATCCGTTAGGTTCAACAAATGATGTCGACTTGAGCGATAGATGGGTAACATGGTGCATAATTCAGTGACTATTGAGATACAATTTTAAGTTCAATTATTTAGTAACAATTAATATATGTCTGTCACCATTGATATATGATTTTAAGTTCAATTATTAAATAATAATATTTCTTCTCTCAAATCGAACACCATGAAAAAAAAAACCAAAGAAAATGAAGGGAAAAAAAAGGAAACTAAAAATTAGAGACTTGTAAATCGTAAAAAATAGAACGTTTCAGAATTGGGCATCACAGATATTTGCAAAAGATTAATTTTTCCATTTGGAGCCTACTTTCAAATATCCATCCTTTGAAGTAATCTCACTTGTCCAGTGCCACAATCTAAATTTGTTCCAAAGTGAACAAATAATCCTAATTTTTGCTTTTCCTAAAATTTAAAAAATCTAATCTTTTGCAAAAATCTCAACCACCACTTCCAAAAAATCAATATTTCTTTGAAAAATCCATTTTTGTGGAAAAATGGGATACCCACTATGCAAAATTCAATCTTTTGCAAAAATCTGTAATGCTCAATTCGGAAAAGTTCTATTTTTCTTCGATTTACAAGCCTCTAATTTTCAGTTCCCTTTTTTCTCTCTTCAGTTTTTTTTTTATTTTCTTCTGTTACAGAGGTAGATTTTAGGGAAAAAAGAAATTGTTTTTTTTTTGAAAGGTAACCAAAT